ACCAGGGGGCAGACACTCAATGCAGGAGCTGCCCTCTGGTGGTCAGGGCGCTCTCACATGGGGGGAGCTCTGCTCAGCCACAAGCCAGGCTGACGGCTGCCAGTACAGCGGTGGTGGTGGGAGCCTCTCCTGCCTCCTCAGCAGCGCTAAGGATGTCAGACTGCAGCTTAGGCCTGCTCCCCGCTGGCAAGTGGACATCCCCCGAGGGCTGCCGGGCTGCCAAAGGGATGTCTGACTGCCATCTTAGGCCCAATCCTCCAGGGGAGCGGGCCTAAGCCAGCAGGTGGACATCTCCCAAGGGGTCCCAGACTGCGAGAGGGCACAGGCCGGGCTGAGGGACACCCCCCCCTGAGTGCACAAATTTTTGTGCACTGGGCCTCTAGTATATATATATATATGTATTTGTGTGTGTATATATATGTGTGTGTGTGTGTGTGTGTATATATATATACACACACACACACATATATATTTTAAATGTCAAAGGCACACAACTGTGAAAGTGCACGACATCTTTGGGGCTACAGCCAGCTGCTTGGTGTGTTCGGATAGTAAGGTATCTGGAGAAACAAGACGAGACTAAGAAGGCAAACTAGATTAGGACTGACAGTAAAAGGTCCTGAATGGTGCTGCTTAACCATCAGTAAATAGTTTTGTCGGCAAAATCCGTGACTGAAAAAGTTTAGGCAGCGACATAAACAGATGTGTAGTCCAGAACGATAACTCACTGGGAAGGATGATGGTGGGGAAGCTTAGCTGGGGGAGGGCACCTGCACCATTCTGGGGAAAGAAGAAATAACATAGTGCAGTGCGAGTGGAAATGCAGAATCAAGGACACAGGTTCCCAGCTTGGCCAGCAGGACTGGACCCACTATCAATCATGGGATGCAGAAGAAGGGCAGGAAGAAAACCAGGGAAGGAGTAGCAACCCTCGGAGGGCAGTTTCAAGAAGGAGAAAAGAGTTCTCCATGTCCTATGCTGCAAAGAGGTAAAGTGAAAACCGAAAGGGTCCCCCTTCCCTCCCCTCAACGGTGAGCTCCCAGGTGGGTTAGGCAGCAAGAAAACAGACGGAAGGTGTGTCCCGAGGGCCAGGGCCAAAGCTTTTCATTAAACTTTCCGCACCGCAGCCCCGGAAAGAGGAGCTCAGACCTGAGGCCGGGGAGAGGAAGTAAGGCTCCCCGGAGGGGCTAACCGGCGGGGGGCAACGCCGAGGGCCGGGCGACCGGTAGCTCAGGAGGAGCAAAGCACCAGAACGGCCCCGGGAAAGGAAGCTAACGGCTCCCTCCGCCTGCTCTGGCCCCCGGGTTTATTCCACTTACTCTGGTCTCAGTCCCTCGCAGCCGTGAGCTGTGGCGATCAAGACTCAAAGCCTCTGCCAACGGGGACCTAGGCACCCGAGGGGACAGAGTCCTTCCGCCTGTTTGGCGTCTTCAGCGAGCAGACCTAGAACAAGGCTGAGGTAGTCGGTAGGCAACTGGGGGGTCCGCAGGGCTCGGCCCCATCACTGGACCGGGAACCGCGTCCGACTAGCGCTCCCACCAGCACTCCAACCTCGCGAGATTTCCTTCCTTGCGTCACCGTGGGGGGGCTGACCCAAGAGATTTACTTGCAGTTTCTCCCTGACTTGCGCGAGAGGTGGGGGCGGGTCCAGTCTAAGCCCCGCCCCGTTAACCTACTCAGGGTTTTTTTCGCTTGGTTTCTCACAAAGTCTCGCGAGTTTTGCCAGGGAAACCGGCCTAGGTGAAGAGACCGAGAAGGGGAGCCCGGGTGGGAGGGCCTTGCGCTTCAGGGCCCGTGGCTGGTTTAGCCGGTGTTGTGGTTGGTACTTCGCTGATGGGGAGGCTCTCAGGTTGCCCGGAACATACTTCCCAATGGGTGATGGTGGAAAATTAGCGGGTAGGAAATCTTGAGGGTCGGAGGCATTTTTTTTTTCTCTTGGCTCCGCCCTCTTCCCCGTTCAGCGACCTGGGCGTCTGGCCCACCGAGGGGGAAGGGCGGCTTGGCCGGGCCTGTGCGCACGCGCGATCCCGGTGTGTGAGTGTTCGTGCTCGCGCGCACGCGCGCGCGCTCCCGCACTTAGGAAGCTGGGGAAGAAGCGGAGTGCTGAGCGATGAGCGGGGGAAAGCCCAGTCCCCTGCCGTGGGTACCAGACGCTCCTGACCGTGCGCTGGCCCTCCCCACCCAACCGGCAGCCTTTGCCTGAGCGGCCGTGGTCCATAGCCTCTGTGCGTTTCCACTTCAGGACCAGGCACGAAAGTAAGCTAACCTCAGCCCTGAGGTCTTCCCTACCCGCTCACCTTGTGCTGTCCACCCCGCACCCTCCCGCAGAGGGTGTCTCGATTCCTCCAAGAAGAGTTTTGCATGAAGGGGAAATGCGTGCGGAAGCAAGGAGAAGCCAATAGCAGGATCGTAAAAAGTCAGTTCGTGTTCATGAACACTTCTGCTTTTACCATGTGCTTTTTGAATGTGGATTGTCTATTAAGCATAAGGTTTTATTAACGAAGCAAGGGAGTTTTTATAAAAAAAAGTTTTAAGAGAGTTCCTCCTCCCCAGCCAGGCGCTTGGTAGCACCTAAGTTTTACTGTTCTGCATGGTCAATGACTGCGGTGGCTCGAAAGCTAAGGGGGGCATTGTGAATTTGGGGTCCTTTTCCGAATGCGAAGACCCGATATGCAGTTATGTTAGATGTCTGTTGTGTTTTGGTCTTCCCTATTGCTGTCACTTGTGTTTCCTGTTAATTCTATCCCCTTCCCTTTTCAGAAGTCTGGAGACTTTTTGGAGGGAAGCTCAAAACCGCTGACTTGGGTTAGTTTGGGAATTTGTATGTGATTGCTGTCAGTTAGCGAGGATCATCAAAAGTGTGTTTGAAAAAAGTATTTGTCGTGTATTATTGTTTGGTATTATGTAAGGGGATCAAGTACAATTATTTGTAAAAGTATTTTCTTTTGCTCATTTTAAATTCATTCAACAAGCAAAAAAAAAAATATGTATGGACTGTAATTTTGCCTGTGACTGATAGAGTGACAGCTTAATAGGATGTAGCTCATCCCTTGAATTGATACTTTGTGGTCAGGACCTCATTAAATCTTGTCCTTTGTTGAACACATTTCTTTGGATACTGAATCTTCCAAATCTTCTTGAAGAAAAGACACATTAGAAATAATGTAAGATTTAAATGTTATGTATAAGATATTTGGCTAATATATTTTATCCCTTACAGGTTAAAACAAAATGAAGATTTTTTCTGAATCTCATAAAACAGTCTTTGTTGTGGATCACTGCCCTTACATGGCAGAATCATGCAGACAACATGTTGAGTTTGATATGTTGGTGAAGAACAGGACCCAAGGCATCATCCCATTGGCCCCTATATCTAAATCATTGTGGACTTGCTCAGTAGAATCTTCCATGGAATACTGTAGAATAATGTATGATATATTTCCTTTCAGAAAACTGGTGAGTGTGAAGTACAAGCAAAATTTGGGGAATGTACTTAACTGCCTGTAACATTTTTTATATATGAATTTGCTGTAAATTTAGAACTGTTTGTTTACCACTTTAAAAATGTGATATGTAGACTTCTCCTTTGGGATTAAATATCATGTGTATTTAGTTGGGACCAACAGTAACAGCTAACAATTATGAAGCACTTACGGGTGCCAGGCGTATTCCAAAGGGCTTCATGTATATTAACTCCTCTAATTCTCACAACAATCCTATAAGGTAGCTACTCTAATTACTAGGATAGTATTCAAAGTATATAGTCACCAAAATGCAACAGGCACTGACCGTTGATTGTTACTAGCCTAAGCAGCAGGGATGTTGTCTGTAAGCAGTCTGTCAGACTGTGCTGGTATGTACTAGTACCATCTGAATATCAGCCTTTTTTTTTTTTTTATTACTGTCATGTTGGAGATGAAGCTGAGGTGGTGATATATTAGAAAATATATCAAATGATGACTGTTTCCTTTTGGGAGAAGGGTGCGATTATTTCATTTCACCTTACTTGATAATATTTTTTTTAAAGATTTTTTTACTGATTTCAGAGAGGGAGAGAGAGATAGAAATATCAATGATGAGAAAGAATCATTGATTGGGTGCCTCCTGCATGCCCCTCACTGGGGATTGAGGCCTCAACCTGGGCATGTGTCCTGACCGGGAATTGAACCATGACCTCCTGGTTCATAGGTCGATACTCAACCACTTAGCCATGCTGGCCCAGTGATACTATTTTTGTTTTGTTGAATTTTACTTAAAAATTTAGAATAAAGTCCAAATTAATTATTTTGACTTTCAGTGCCCTATGTGTTATGGCCACTGCCTATTGTTTTTGAGCTTATCTCCTGCTCTCCTGTCTGCTCCGAACTTCATCCTTTTAAGGGTACTCACTTAAAGGCGTTTGCGATTGCTGTTCACTACACCTGGAATTCTCTATCCCCAGCGCTTTCCATGGCTGATTTCTTTTGGTCATTTTGAATTTCCTTCAGTTGCAACTTGTGTAGAGAGCCCTTCTCTGTCCAACCAACCTGAAGTAACTAACCATCTTTTTCTTCACATTTATCACTCTGAAATGATCTTGTTTATTTGTTGGTTCCCTGCACTGCTCTCTTATCTTACCACACCTGCCAAACCTTGTTTTCCCCACATTGTGATAGAACTGTTTTATTCCTCACTATATTCCCATACTCCAGCGCTGAGAATAGCACCTGACATGTACTAGGCATTCTATACTTACAAAATGGATGAATGACTCAATCAACAAATCAGTGCTAAAGACCTCATATTATTTTATTTTTAATTCTTTTTACTATTAACTAGTAGCAAACTTTACATTTTAAATATGATGTGATCAGATGGAATTGAAGTTGAGTACTAATGATTTATTTGAAATCTATTAGGTGAATTTCATTGTGAGTGACTCTGGAGCACATGTTTTAAATTCCTGGACTCAAGAAGACCAAAATTTGCAAGAGGTATGATTCAGGTTTTGAACTGTGGCCTTTTTGAAAATTTCTCATCATTGATGTTTCAGTAATACTTTAATAAAAAATAATTTAAAAATTTTGATCAATATAGGATAATATATGCACATTGTTTAAAAACATCACCTAATACTGAAAGTGAAACAGCTATCTCCAATCCAGTCTTTCCCCACTTGAAAGCAAACTTTCAACTCTTGCTCATTTAGTATATACTTCCATATTTAAAAAAAAAAATTATTTTACTGCCATTTATCTACTTAAAGAAGTTTCCTTCTATTTCTAGTTTGTTGAAAAGGTCTTACATTTTGTCAAATGCATTTTCTTGTATTTTTGGAGATTATGTGATTTAAAATTTTCTGTTAATATGATATGCACATTAATTAATTTTTGGATTTTAAATCAACTTTGCATTCTTGAGATAGTGCCCTTGGTCATGATGTATAATTATTTTTATATGTTGCTCAATTTGGTTTACTAGTAGTAATTTGTTGAGGATATTTGAATCCATATTTATAAGATATATTGGTTTATAGTTTACTTTTCTTGTGATGTCTTTGTCTGACTTGTGCATACTCTTGTCACCATAATTGTTTTCCCATTATTTAGCTAATGGCAGCATTAGCTGCTGTTGGGCCCCCTAATCCACGGGCAGATCCAGAATGCTGCAGTATTCTACATGGCCTCGTTGCAGCAGTGGAAACCCTCTGTAAAATTACGGAATACCAACATGAGGCCCGTACTCTACTAATGGAGAATGCAGAACGTGTTGGCAATAGGGGGAGAATAATTTGCATTACTAATGCAAAAAGGTGAGACAATAACAGTAACTCTTTCACAGAGGGAATTGTACTCTTTCACGGCTTTTATTTTAAAAAGTAGGGACAATATGTTAGCATTTAAACGTATCACAAGTGGCCTTTCTAGTATTGAAGCTTTGTTTATCCAATTCTAAAATAAAGACTCATCTCAGTGAAAACTTTAGATTGTCATCATGTAGGTTAATTTGACTTCTCACTAGTTTTTCATTTGGTTACTTGGTGTTGTGAATGAGCACCTAAAAACAATCCTTACTGAAGTAATGTTAAATACCTGTAGCTGAACAGTGTGTTTAATTTTTTCTCTTACTGTTTATTCCTTTAAGTTTGTTGTATCTTTTTTATGCCACTAGTGATAGTCATGTGCGAATGCTTGAGGACTGTGTTCAGGAAACGATTCATGAGCATAACAAGCTTGCTGCAAATTCAGATCAGTGAGTATAATCTACATTTGAAATAAATGTTAAATTTTATAGTCATATATTTCATTCTAATTATTTCAATAATTTTAATAGAAACATAAATTTTTCTTGAATTCTCTTCTGACTCTACAAATTAGCCAAAAGATATGTTCGGTCATAAATTTTATTCCCTATTTTCCCTTTCACTTTAAGATTTTACTTTTTTCCCCATAGGAAAGGTGATCAGAACTATAACATAATGTATAAATTTATAATGCATATTTGTTTTGATAGCTTGCTCTCATATTCTTTCAAATTTATAAAATGAATAAATTATCAGTGGCATTATTCATTATGGACCAAAACAATGAATTGCAGTATATGAATTTTTTTTAAAGCAAAAAGCTATTAAAAATATGTTTTGGGCTGTTGCAATGTGGAGTCTAAATTAGATTGAGCTATTATTAATCTCCTTAAGCGGAGTACTGGTATTATTGTTAATAAATAAGATTATTCTCACTAGGAGAAGCATGCTGAGGTATTTAGGAATGAAGTATTTCCTTTGCAATTTACTATCTATGGCATAATAAAAAAAGTGTATGTCTATTTAGGTATATAGAGAGAACAAATATAGCTATCACTTAGTGAATCTAGTTTAAGGATATATCAGTATTCATTGAATAGTATCGTTATTTCAACCTTTCTGTAGGTTTGGAAATTTTAAAATAAAAAGTTGGGGGAAACTTTTTAGCATTACAAGTTCTGTATTCTTCGAATAATCAGTTATAAGTCAAGGTTAGTATTGTCTGGTTTTGTCCTTAAGAAACATTAGTAAAAAGGAAACTAATGCACAATATATTAATTTTCTCTGTGACAGTTATATATTGAAAATTATACCTGATTATAAGAATTTTCTTTTTATTTTATCCTTTAAACACAAAAATTATTTTTTGCATTTGAATTTAATTAATATAAATTATTCATTTAATGTTCATACAAGTACAACAATTATACAGTTTTTCTAAATATTTAGCTTTTGTGTTAACAGTAGTATCTGATTAGAGATATGCTGTTTTGGTAAATATAACTCTCAATAGTTTATCTGCCTAGAATCTTTACATTGAATGCACATAGTTTAAAAACATCACCTATTACTAAAAGCAAAACAGTTATCTCCATTCCAGTCTTTCCCCACTTCCTAGAAGCAAACTTTCAACTCTTGCTCATTTGGTATATACTTCCACATTAAAAAAAAATTTTTTTTTACTGCCATTTATCTACCTAAAGATGTTTCCTTCTAGTTTGTTGAAAAGGTCTTAGATTTTGTCAAATGTGTTTTCTTGTATTTTTGGAGATTATATGATTTAAAAAATTTTCTGTTGATATGATATGCACATTAATTAATTTTTGGATTTTAAATCAACTTTGCATTCTTGAGATAGTGCCCTTGGTCATGATGTATAATTATTTTTATATGTTGCTCAATTTGGTTTGCTAGTAGCAATTTGTTGAGGATATTTGTGTCCATATTTATAAGAATAGTATGTATTTTTATATTCTAAGTGAAAGTTTTTCTTTAAGTCTCATGCAGATTCAGAAGTGTGAGCTGGTTTTGATCCATACCTACCCTGTTGGTGAAGACAGCCTTGTATCCGATCGTTCCAAAAAAGAGGTAAGTGCAGAAGTAATAGAGAAAAGATCATTTTTAGTTAATAATAAATGCTGACACGGGTTAGCATTATAATGATCACATTGCCAACATTTTCTGCCAAGAAAATACAAGGTGGGGCAAAGCAGGTTTATAGTTGTAAGTACACGAAACACATAGTTTATTATTTTGCATTATTATTTATTAATTATTGTGTTATTTATTAATTATTGTATTTTTTTATCAGAACAACTATAAACCTACTTTTGCCATACCCTGTATTTACAGTTTCAAAGAACCTGTATAGCAAAACACCTAGTTTGGTTCTTTGTGTTATAATAGTACATTTTATAAGTGTTTTCTGTTTAGCCTTGTCTGAGTGGCTCAGTTGTTTGGAGCGTCATCCTGTACCAAAAGGTTTTGGTTTCAATTCCTGGTCAGGGCACATACCTAGGTTGCGGGTTCAGTCCCCAGACGAGGTGTGTATAGGAAGCAACGGATCAATGTTTCTCTCTCTCCCTTCCTCTCTCTAAAATATATAAAAACATATCCTCAGGTGTAGATTAAAATTTTTTTTTCTTTTTTGCTTGCCTTTTGACATTTAATTAAATGTGTTGTAAAACCATACATAGTTTGCATTGTTCCTAAAATTTCAATTATTGCGATGGGTTTCAGTTGCTTTAATGATGTTTTATTCCTTAAAAGTCTTTTTTTTCCTCATTAGAAAAGTAATATACTCTAATAAAAATACACTCTAGTAACATAGAAATTAACTTTACCCAATCAGATGGGGGAAAAAACTAATTTCCAACCTTGGTTTTCCTTTTTAAATAGATTTGAACATTTTTGAAGGAAAAGATAAATCTGTTGATTGTTAAAAGAATTTGCATCACATAATATTCTCCATCAGTGGTCTATGTATTTACCTAATTGTATTAAATGTGTATGTTTTTAGGTTCAGGTTTTTCTCTTAGCCTTATTTAATATAAACATGTGAAGTATTACCTTAGTCTATGAATGCTTGGTAGTTAAGTGATATTGCTAGGTCATTAGCTTTATTGTTGTGTTTTTAGGTGATTTCCAGTATAAGCCCCCTTTTTACTAACTTGTACCTGCATCTTTTGATAATGTGGCAATATGTTGGCTTTACTTTGTGATAGCTAAAAAGCTTATTTACAATAAATATTTTTACCCTGGAATGAGTAAAGTTTTGTGTTACCTTGTTGTAAGTAAAGTTTGGCTGCCTTATCATAGTTATTGGTGATAAAATATGATGTTTGTAGTGATTTCCACATTCCTTTTAAGTAGTTCTATCTTTCGGGTGTTGTCTTCTCAAAATGAATTATTTTTCTACAGTATTTCTATGGGCCACTTCAGATCCATTTTGCATATAGATAAATAGAAGTAAAATTATAAATGAAAATATATATTTAAATCAACAACTCTAAGTTTCAAGAGGACAGGGAATTTGCCTGTTCACTGCTGTATCCTCCAAGAGCTCACACAGTTTCTAGCATATAATGTAGTAAATTCTGCTTGGTACCTATTTATTAAATGAATAAATGAATGACTGTCTGAACATTTATTGCTAAAATAATGATCATTAGTGCCTAGCCGGTTTGGCTCAGTGGATAGAGCATCGTCCTGCAGACTGAAGGGTCCTGGGTTCGATTCCAGTCAAGGGCACATGCCTGGGTTGCAGGCTCGATCCCCATTAGTGGGTATGCAGGAGGCAGCTGATCAATGATTCTCATCGCTGATGTTTCTATCTTTTCCTCTCTGAAATAAATAAAAATATATTTTAAAAAATAATGACCATAGTTAATTTATGGACCTTTGTATTTTTCCAAATTCTATAAAATGAAAACAGTCACTTTTTATGGGTTGAAGTAAACTATTTAGCACTCAGTTACAGTGTATTAATGTTTTATGGATGGTTTTTTTTTCTCATACTTTTCTGTAGTTGTCCCCTGTTTTAACCAGCGAAGTTCATAGTGTTCGTGCAGGACGGCATCTTGCTACCAAATTAAATATTTTAGTACAGCAACATTTTGACTTGGCTTCAACTACTATTACAAATATTCCAATGAAGGTAGGCAGCTCTTTTTCCTGCTATTTTGAAAGCTCTGTTTTTGCTTTTTAAACATTTGTTTGACATATATTATTTATTTTAATTGAACCTTAATATTTTTCTCCCCATATCATGTTTTCTGTTTTGCTAGCCCACATTCAGTGTCTTTGACCAGGTCAGTAAGTACTGAAAAGCAACAAGAAAGGATCACAGAACAAAATGCTGTATTTTTCTCTCTAATAAGAACACTCAGCTTTTTTGTTTTTAACTATGTTCTCATTATTTTCATCAAAGTATAATCTCTATCTTAAACGACCACTTTTTCTGTGATTCTTTTTCTGACAGTTGTGTTATTAGATTTTCCTTACATTGTGTATTCTAGTTGGTCTTTTATTTTCTGTATTTTTGTTTTTGCCCAACAAATATAAAGGTGTTTGTAACTAATAAGTCTGACTAAGGAAAAATAGCTCATAGTTTTAAATAAGTTTATTACCTTACCTGAAAAACCAAAGGTGTGAGTCTTAGGATTTTATTAATGGATATTCTTAGGAACCTGTTGCCACCTGTTCCTTTTCATCATAGTATCATTAGCTTGTCTAGAACTAGCACAATGCCTGGCCCATAATAAGCTTTAAATGAATTTTCACTAAGTGGAATTAATTTTAATTTTATTGATTATGTTTATAAATAAAGTAACCATCATATCTAAAAATGCAAAGAGACTTTCTTATAAGTCCCAATTTCATTGTTTTGCCACCATATGATGAACACTAAATTGCATAGAAACATCTTTGATTATTAATTTTCTCCTATACCATTGCCTGGCTCTTTAATAGAAATTGTAACTTTAACCCATAGAATGGTTTGGGTGTAGAAACAACAAGTAAAGTAGCGTAATAGGTGTACTTTATTATACACTGAGTGGCCAGATTGTATGACCGGTCAGATTATTATGACCACCCCATCAGTACAATGAAGTGAATTAGTTATGCAAATAATGATGATAATAAAACCTTGAGAGTATTTGCTTAGGAAGTTTTCAATATTCAGTATTTTTGGAAGTGTCAATGAAGTACTGATGGGGTGGTCATAATAATCTGGCCAGTCATAATAATCTGGCCACTCAGTGCATATAATTTCATGAGTTATAAGAAAAAATAGTCTGAGGGTGACAGGTACCTTGCTCTTATAATTTGATTATATTTGTGTGCTGCTGGTGTGATTCTTTCTTCAATCTGTTTTTTTCTTGTAAATAGATAATATCAAAATTCCTGTTTACTATTTAGGAAAACTAATAAACTTGTTTATTAGTCAGTATTTGCTGTTTTATATGATTGACATTTGTTAATTTATTGTAGGTATTTAAAGATGCTGCTTCCTCCTTTAAACAATGATTTCACTTTCAATATATATAAACTATTTCAATTGCATTATATTTGTTTACAATTTGTGTATATTTGCACAAGACAGTGCATTTGGAGTAAAAAAATTTCTAAAATTTCTGGATTAATCATGTGTTAATTCATGACATAATATAAGAAAAATAATTAGATACTGTATTACTGATATATAGCGAGTAGTTTTTTAATAGTTTATATTTCAGTGGAAAACTGTTGCATCTTTAAATAGATTAATTACTGAGCAAACTATACCATTATTGTAGATAATTTTCGTCCAGTGTATTTTATTTCATTGTAAACAAAGAGCAAAATTAATAGTTAATAAATAACTTCATTCTTTGGAAAACAAAACCAAGTGATTTTAAATTTTGCTTTAAGGAAGAACAACATGCTAACACATCTGCCAATTATGATGTGGAGTTACTTCATCACAAAGATGCACATGTAGATTTCTTGAAAAGTGGTGAGTAAGAGACACTGGAAAGTCTTAATTTGTGAGATCTAACATATGGAAGCTTACAAACAACTTTGAGGTGCTCTTCAGTAAACAAACCTGATTGACTTTAGTTCATTCCTTTCCAAACTTATTTGACAATGTCACCTATTAATGGTCATGGAACTAAGACTAAGCTATTGTGATAGAGAGCCATTGAAGTCATGTCATAGTTTTTCTTTTCTAGGCAAACCGCCTTGGGAAAGGGAAAAGAATAGGAGCCAACTTGAAAGGGTGATTGACTTACAACTTATAAGCCCGGATATAAATCAGTTGTTTTGAAATTTAGTGATATTTTTTTCCTCTAAAAAGTATGTGACTCAGTAGGTTTTTTTCTCCCAAAACAGATTTCCGCAGCCGTATCAGCATGGTTTAGGACTCTGGAGCTAGGAGATAACAGTTTTAGCCAAAGCTTTGCCACCAGCTAGCAAATCCTATGTGTTTCTACACTTCAGTTTATGTACTTATATATTAAAGACTAGAGGCCCAGTGCACGAAATTCGTGCACGCTGGGGTTGGTGTCCCTCAGCCTGGTCTGCACTCTCTCGTAATCCAGGACCCCTCGTGGGATGTCCAACTGCTGGTTTAGGCCTGATCCTGTCGGACATCCCTCTCACAATCCGGGACCACTGGCTCCTAACCACTCGCCTGCCTGCCTGATCGCCCCTAACCACTCGCCTGCCTGCCGATCGTCCCTAACCACTCACCTGCCTGCCGGATTGCCCCTAACCACTCTGCATGCCTGCCTGATCACCTCTAACCACTCGCCTGCCTGCCTGATCACCCCTAGCCACCTTTGCCTCAGCCCCTGCTGCAGGGGCTTCGTCTGGAAGGACGCCCGGAAGGTTGTTCGACTGTCTGGTCTAATTAGCATATCACGCTTTTATTATTATAGATGTTAGCCCTAGCCAGTTTAGCTTAGTGAATAGAGCGTTGGCCTGCAGCCTGAAGGGTTCCAGGTTCAATTCCAGTCAAGGGCATACCTCAGTTGCAGGCTCAATCCCTGGTCCTGGTTGGAGTGTGTGCTGGTGGCAACCAGTTGATGTGTCTCTCTCACATCAAAGTTTTTCTTTCTCTCTCTCTCTCTCTCTCTCTCTCTCTCTCTCCTCCCCCCTTTTTCCTTCCCTCCCTTTCCCTCTCTCCCCCTCCCTCTCCCTCTCCCTCTCCTCCTCCCTTCCACTCTCTCTAAAAGTCAATAAAAAAAATCCATGGGTGAGGATTATCAAGAAAATAAATAAGTAAATAAATAAAGCTAGATTAGATGAACTGTAATATTCCACCCATTTCTAAACAAAAATTTCTAACAGGAGAAAAACTATTAAGGTAAATAAATGTATTCATGTTTAACAAAGGAATGTAAATAACTTGTTTTTGAAAATATAATATATGGAAATTACTAAGAATCTGTGAGATAATATCAGTTTTTAATATGTTTATTTTTAAAACTTAGAAAAATAGTAAAAATATTCTTTGTAACACAACCTTTTCCTCTAAAATAGTTGTTGATTGACATGGACACCATATGCAAAATGCTATAGTAGCAATAGGGACAGAGATGTGTGGGAACACAGGGTTTGCATGTAATTATATCTCTGAGTCAGGCAAGCTTTACAGAGGAGGTGATATTAGAGCTGGATTTTGATGAGTAGGCCTATACGTTAGCCCAGATATCTTCTCTAAGCTTCAGGTCTATACAGAGGGTCCACAACTTACAATGGTTTGACTTACGATTTTTATATTTTTCAACTTTATGATGGTGAGAAAGTGATACTCATTCACTTTGAATTTTGACCTTCTCCCGGGCTCAAGATGTGTAGTATGACACTCTCGTGATGCTGAGCAGCAGCAGCAAATTGTAGCTCCCAGTCCGCCTCTTGATCTCGAGGTTAAACAACCGATACTGTACAGTGTGCTGTGTTGCCAGCATTTTTTGGATATTGCGTTCTGAGCACATTTAAGGTAGGCTAGGCTAAGCTATGATGTTCAGTAAGTTAGGTGTATTAAAAGATGTCTCTTAGGCACCTATTACTCAATATACTCAAAACAACCTACGAACTTTGCCCTCTTTCAGTGAATGACCCTATTGCCTATTCAGTTATATAAGGCAGAAACCTCAGAGTCAGCTTTAAGACATCTCTCTGTCATTCTTCATATCTAATCTATCACCATATTCTCTTTTTTCTTTTGGCTTAAACAACAGAAAATGTATTTTCTGTTCTGGAGGCTAGAAATGCAAGATCAGGTTGACTATGCAGTTGATTTCTTCTGGAGCCTCTCTCATTGGCTTGTAGATGGCTGTTTTGTCTTCAGATGGCTCTTTATATTTGCATATGATCACATTTACTTGATTTTATCTACCAAAGTATCTCTCATACATTTACATCTGCATATCCATTACTATTACATCTCCCTATTAATAGTCCAGCCTAATATTTTCTTACCTAGTACCTATAATAGCCTCCTTAATGGTGTGTCTAGCTACTCGACCTGCTAACTAGAATATCTTTCACGATGTGAATCAGGACATACTCCCCTTACCTTAAAACCCTCTAATGCTTTTCTGTTGCCCTTAAAATAAAAACAATTTTAAATGTCTTAAAAGGCCCTGAAACTCTTCATGCTCTCACCTGCCACAATATTTTGGCATCTGCTGTTTTCCTTGCGTGAATACTCTCCTTCATTTCTTTAGTTATTTTCACTTCACCCTTTTAGAACTCAAGTTACTTTTACTTCTCGAAGCAGCCTTCCCTGTTGTCTCAACATAGGTCAAATCTCTCTGGAAAGTCCCTCATAGCGCTCAATATATCTCCTTTAGAGCTTTGTCAATTTTATAGTTTGCATTTATTCATTATCATCTATAATAATAAAAGTGTAATATGCTAATTAGACCAAATGACCTTCCCGATGAAGTCGGGGATGGGAAGGAAGCCCGGGTCCCGGGTGCCAGAGGGAAGCCGTTGCTGTCAGCCGGGGGAAGGAAGGCCTACTCTTGCATGAATTTTGTGCATTGGGCCTCTAGTTTTATTAATATCTGTTTACTGTAGACTGCATTTAGGCAAAAAATGCTTACTGTTAAGTATTATACATTCGTAACTTTCTAGGTCCCTAATTTTATGTTTCTGCTCATAAATTCATTAGGATTCAGTATAACTAGTGCATTTTAGATTCCTGAAGCTTTTTTTAAGTACTTATTTTATTATTTAACTAGAGGCCTAGTGCATGAAATTTGTGCACTCTGGGGGGCATCCCTCAGTCCGGCCTGTGTCCTCTCGCAGTCCAGGAGCCCTCGGGGGATGTCCTACTGCCAGCTTAGGCCCTCTCCTTGGGGAGCAGGCCTAAACTGTCAGTAGGACATCCTTAGCACTGCCGCAGAGGCGGGAGAGGCTCCTGCCACCGCTGCTGCGCTCACCAGCCATGAGCCCGGCTTCTGGTTGAGCGGCGCTCCCCCTGTGGGAGTGCACTGACCAGCAGAGGGCAGCTCCTGCGTTGAGCGTCTGCCCGCTAGTAGTCAGTGTGCATCATAGCAACTGGTCGTTTTGCCTTCAGTCGATTTGCATATTAGCCTTTTATTATATAGGACTAGAGGACTGGTGCACCAATTCATGTATGGGTGTGGTTCGGCCGGCCTGCCCTGATGGGGGCCGATCGGGCCAGACCAGCAGCGGGGCGGGGACGCAGGAGGTTGGCCAGCCATGCCCCCGATTGGGGGTTGGGGGTGGGACCGGCCGGGGAGGGGCCACGGGTGGTTGGGAGGGCTGATCAGGGCTCCAATCAGGCTGGTTGGCCGCCGCAGTGTACATCATAGCTACCGGTTGTTCTGGTCCTTCCAACGTTCCGGTCGTTTGGCTTTTATATATTTAGATGGTGACAGAAGGGAGCAATTGCAGTCTTAAAATTTCAAAAAGTGTGCTCGCTTCGGCATCACATATACTAAAATTGGAACGATACAGAGAAGATTAGCATGGCCCCAGCGCAAGGATGACATGCAAATTCGTGAAGCGTTCCACATTAAAAAAAAAAAAAAATTCAAAAAGTTTTGCTATTGCCTTTCAGTGCAGTGATTGGGATGATTAAATTAATGAGAAATTTAGCGGGAAATCAAATACTTACTTTAATCATAGGTAATATCCAAACTCTATTTGGTATTTTTCTAGGAGACTTCATAAAAAAATGTTCTCCCAGAGGTATTTTATAAAATTTAAACTCTTTCAGAAATCTTGGGTAAACAATTTGAAGTTTATGGTCTTAATGTAATGTTACTGTTTCTCTGACTCATTTTTAAAGGTGATACCCACTTAGGTGGTAGCAGTAGAGAAGGCTCGTTTAAAGAAACAATAACATTAAAATGGTGCACACCCAGGACAAATAACATCGGTAGGTATTTTAAAAGTTTCTTAAAGTGTTACAAAGGGCTCATTAATTTGCTTTTTTTGGAGTTTTTGTTTTTCATTGTTATATGGCTTTAAGAAACAAGTATGTGTTTTTTTCTCTTTTGTGGAAATATTCGTTTATATTCTTTGAAATCAGTATTTTCTTCTATTTCAGAATTACACTATTGCACTGGCGCTTATCGAATTTCACCTGTAGATGTAAATAGTAGACCTTCTTCCTGCCTTACTAATTTTCTTCTAAATGGTAACTTTCATCATTTAATTGTTTTGACTGAGATTATTACAAGGGAAGTCATGAACTCTGGAAAAGCCATTTTTTTCAACATAGTTTAACCATTTTATTTCCCAGAACTGCTTTAAAGTTATATAATTATAAATACCCTTAACTAGTTTACTAATGTTTAAAATTAAGATGACTTTATGTCTTTCAGGCTATTGTATCCAAGTAAGTTTTATTTATATATTCTTTTGGTATTTTTAATTTAAAATTTTACCATTAAAGTCTGCATGTTTTGTTTTTCAGATAGTATATAGTACAGACCATTATGTTGGCCTATTGAATTTTAAATTATACAGTGTATATGGACTTATTTTTCTTTGAACACTATACCTTTACCATAAACATTTTAAATATTATACTATGTTATTCTTACACACATGGCCTTAAATCCCTGGTTTCCTTGTGTGAAAAAAATTTATTTTTAAAATTTTTATTTATTGATTTTAGAGAGAGGAATGGAGAGAAAGAGAGAGGGAGAGAGAAAGAGAGAGACATCAATTTGTTGTTCCACTCACTTATGCATTCATTGGTTGATTGTTGTATGTTTCCTGACCGGGGATCAAACCTGCAACCTTGGCATATCAGAGCAACACTCTAACTAAAGCTACCCAGCCAGGGCCTGAAAAAATTCTTTAGAAAACCAAATTATTGGATTTCATTTACTAAATCTAAACTCTAATAGCTCCTCTTAATAGAGTCTTATGATCAACTCAGTTTTTGAATCACTGATAAGATGAGTTGGCCAGCCTTTATCATAAGATTATTTTCATAGTTATATTAAGCACAATTTGATTATCAGACTATGTAAAGTCCAGATTAAATAACATTTGGTCATGTGAAATAGAAAGTAGTTACAATAATAATGCTGATAAGTAGGTATTGTGGAAGTGAATTTAGACTTTATTTTCTCCTCCAAATGTTTTATAGCTTTGACAACTTGAGGGTTATCCAACACTTGTCTCACTTTTCTTCTTGATGTCCAAGAGAAAAATTTCATATGAACTTGTAATTGAATGAAGAATATAACCAAACATTATATTAGAGACCACTATATTTATGTTGGAAAACCACCTGTATAACTATGTAAGCTTGGAGTGACCAAGAGAAAGCTGAGGCTAGAATTCAGACTTTTTGAACTTGAAACACAGAAAAACTAAATTAGCAGTGCTGGTTAAAATATGAGGGTTAATAAACAAAATGAAAAAATCTAGACATAAACCTTAGGGGAAAAAATAAGAGCCCGTTTGAATTTCATTACTTTTGACAGGTCGTTCTGTTTTATTGGAACAACCACGAAAGTCAGGTTCCAAAGTCATCAGTCATATGCTTAGTAGCCATGGAGGAGAGATATTTTTGCACGTCCTGAGTAGTTCTCGATCCATTCTAGAAGATCCGCCTTCAATTAGTGAAGGATGTGGAGGAAGAGTTACAGACTACCGGATCACAGTAAGACTCTAATATCTATAAATTTTATGATTTGAGTGTATTCTCATTCAGCAAGTAGTTATTGAATGCCTATTATATGCTAAGATCTGTGACGAAAAGGAGTTTGAGAAGTTGATTATTTATTTTAATTAGCAGTACTTGCTTGAAAGAGCGGTTTATCAATCTGTAGTCTTCCTTATGTATTCAGTGTATACTTAGAAGTATCTGAATAACATTGACATACTGGAATTATAGAAAAGAATAGAAATTGACTTGAGCTAATATTTTAAGTGGAACTTTATTTCTAGTAACTTAAATGGCAAACAAAACATTTCAATTAGATTGCTGCTAATTTGAAATAACACTAAATTTTTGTGTTATTTAAGGATGCCTACAAAAAAATTTGTTTCTATTTTTGGTAGAAATTCCATTGTTCTGATTTTAATTTTTCACTCCTCCTCTCCTAATTTATATTCGGTATTTTATTGCTATCTTTTTTTAAAATATATTTTATTGATTTTTTACAGAGAGGAAGGGAGAGAGATAAAGAGTTAGAAACATCGATGAGAGAGAAACATTGATCAGCCGCCTCCTGCACATCTCCCACTGGGGATGTGCCCGCAACCCAGGTACATGCCCCTGACCGGAATCGAACCCAGGACCCCTCAGTCCACAGGCCGACACTCTATCCACCGAGCCAAACCGGTTTCGGCATATTGCTGTCTTTTTTTTGAGGTGGTTGTGAAAATTAAATGTGATTGATGTGTATGAGTGCATACTTTGTAAGCCAAAGTGTTATATACTGTAAGTAATTGTTTTTGATTAGGCTTTTCTTTATTATTTAAATTTTGTTAATAAGGAGGAAACTAATAAATATTTATTGTAGAAAATTTAGAGATATAGATATATTTAAAAGAAAGACTATAAATTACTTATAATTCCATCATTCAAAGAGTGATTCACTAATTCTTTTTTCTGTTTATGATACAAAAGAGTTAAATTATAGAAGTGAAGAAAAGTGGGTGGTAGGGGGAGCTGTAGGAGAAAATGCTTTGTTGCATATCACAGGACAGAAGACATCAGGGAAACAGACTGTTACATGTAATCCATACTGAAACATTAGAAAATAGTTTCTAATTTTATCTTATTTGGTTATCATTAGGATTTTGGTGAATTTATGAGGGAAAACAGATTAACTCCTTTTCTAGACCCCAGATATAAAATCGATGGAAGTCTTGAGATCCCTTTGGAACGAGCAAAAGATCAGTTAGAAAAACACACCCGTTACTGGCCTATGATTATTTCTCAAACCACCATTTTTAACATGCAAGCGGTAAGTGTTAAATAGTTTCAACTGCTCTTCTAGATTATTTATATATTCTTTTCAGAGACCATTTCTGAAGCAAAGAATAAAATATCTGAGTTTACTACAGTTAAATAGTAACAGAAAATTGAAGTGAAAGTTATATATGATCTCGCCACAGTGATGTTTAAAATCAATTGAAGTTCTGCCTACATGCTTTGATATTTGTTTTTCAAGACAGATTTTCTTGGTTTGTTTTTTTTAAATGTGACAGGTAGTTCCATTAGCCAGTGTTATTGTGAAAGAATCTTTGACAGAAGAAGATGTGTTAAACTGTCAAAAAACAATATACAACTTAGTTGATATGGAAAGAAAAAATGATCCTCTACCTATTTCCACAGTGGGTACAAGAGGAAAAGGCCCTAAAAGGTAATTTTTTTCTTTATATATCATATTGACTTGATACATAGTATATTTTAAGTTATTCCATATGTAAATTATGTTTATGGATGTGTATATATACATATAATTGAGGTGAAATGCTATAGAATAGCAGAATTGGATACATTATAACTGAAAATTGTACCCTTATGTTTACGAAGAGAAAATAAGTCCATGTTTAATGATTTCCTTTTACTTTACCAGTAGAAAGTGACATTTTAATATTATTTAAAGAGTATTTCTAAGATTGTTATTTTAAATCTTTACTTCAGAGATGAACAATACCGTATCATGTGGAATGAATTAGAAACCCTTGTGAGAGCCCATATCAATAACTCGGAGAAACATCAAAGGGTCTTGGAATGTCTGATGGCCTGTAGGAGCAAACCCCCAGAAGAAGAAGAACGAAAGAAACGAGGAAGAAAGAGGGAGGACAAAGAGGACAAGTCAGAGAAAGCAGTAAAAGATTATGAACAGGAGAAGACTTGGCAAGATTTAGAGAGGTGATTTTTGATATTAATATAGCACCATGGTGCCTTTTGGCATATCACATTCTGCATATAGATCAACCCTCATTTAATAGAAGTTCATTTAATATGTATTTATTTCATTTATAACTAAGATTTTGTCATTCTTAAAATCGAAAAGATCTTAGACTTAATGATTTTATTTACGATTAGGGGCAAAGATAGTGTTTAATTTTTATCCTAATTAACTTGTGAAAATTATAATTTAGGACATTTTGGTGTCAGTATTTATGTTTTATGAATATCAAAGACATAGTTTTATTTCTTTGTCAGTAAATATTATTGAATACTTGTGATATGCCAGGCATTTAGCATAAGATTACTGCCTTGGAAGTACATACAGTGTTGCGCTAGAGATAGGCAAGTAAGTTAGTGATGATGACAAAATATGGATGATGCTGTTATAAAAATAGGCAAAGATGCCCTTGATAGCACAGTGAAAGAGCATAGTCCTAATTCTGAAAACCTTTCTCAATAGTACATCTTTTTCCTTAGTTTGTGATCTATAAATAAAAGTATCGTAACATATTAACTGGCTTTGTCTTCTAACTTCTTGCCAGAAATCAGGCAAAGAACCAGGTAAATATTAAAATGGCAATGTGGTATGTCCCTTAAAACAAATCAGAACTTATTATGAAAAAATTCAAAGATTTATTCTACTGTGAATACACATTTACCCATCATCTACTTTGAACAATTATCAGTTAATGGCACATTTCACATCCACTCTCCTCACCACCACCACTGTCCAACTCCACATGGAATATTTTGAAGCTAATTCTAGAAATTATATTATTTCATCCAAAAATAAGTAGAATGTAGAACATTTTTATTCTCTTGACCTTAGAAGTTCACTTCTTCCTTAGAGCCACCAAGCTTCTGAAACGGAATTGGCTCGCTTTAAGAAGAGGAGGGTAGAAAAAGAAGAGTGGGGGGAAAGTATTCTCATTCAGACCCCCCTATTATTCAAGTAGAAGTCTATATATTTTGAAAGTGTTTTTGTTCCCTTGGAAAATTCAAAATAAGCTTGGAATTAAGTTTCTAACTTGTGGAATGTAAATACATGTCCACAGTACATAAACTAGGGAACAAATAATAGTAAATTACTTACTCTTTATAATTTGAAGTATTATTTGGCCTATATCTTTAAATATTAAATTGTGATATTTCTTCCAAATATCACTTTTCTTTTTGATGTTAGCTTCTTAAATTTTTCTCCATTTTTTTCATATTTTGCAGCAAACTACATTACTGAATTATTACACTATTATGATGAAGAAAAGGGGATACTTGTGTTTAATTCATTAAGTTCTCTTAGCTGATTTTAGATTGGCATTTAGCTTCTGATTAGTGTCTAGGTTTACTTTGTAAGAGCAGCTATCTTTTATTAAGACAGTCTAGTTTAATTATTGAACCATTTCAATTTCTAAATATTTAAACTTTAAATTTTATTATTTGTCCCTCTAAAAGATTAAAAAGCATCTTAGAACGTGGAAAAGAAGAATTGGCTGAAGCTGAAATTATAAAAGATTCACCTGATTCCCCAGAACCTCCAAACAAAAAGCCCCTTGTTGAGATGGATGAAACTCCACCAGTAGAAAAATCAAAAGGTAAGGTAGAACTGTGATAGCTATGTTTGTAAAAAGCTTAGTTTTGTTTTGTGCAGTGTTATTTAATACTAGAGGCCCTCGTGCACCTGTGGGGTCCCTCGGCATAGCCTGTGGGAATTGGGCCGAAACTGGCAGTCCAATACCACCTGCCACTCCTGCTCATCCTGGTCCCGCTCTCTGCTGCCACCACTGCTTGGTAGGCTTGGTGCCGCTCTGCTGTGGTCTCCGGGCTGCAGCAGCCATCCATGAGCCCTGCATCTGGCGCCCATCGGTCATCTGAGTGGCGGTCCCGCTGTGGGAGCACACTGACCACCAGGGGGCAGCTTCTGCATTGAGTGTCTGCCCCCTGGTGGTCAGTGCACATAATAGCAACCAGTTGACCAGTCATTCGGTCGTTTGGTCACTTAGTCTTTTATATATATAGATAGATTGTTGTGTATATCAGGAAGAGCTACTAACTGTTCCTGTTGTTTAGGGGATTCTTTGTTTACAGCCTTGAAGATAGGCAGCAGATATATTTGTCAGTATTAAAAAAAAAAAAAGCAGTGCCACACCTTCATTAATGAAGCCTTTGGAAAATAAGTACTTATACTCAAAAGTTTGTGTTTTAAGAAACTTTAATTATCTAAACTTGAATCTGTTTATGTTCCTGACACTATACGAAGTGCTAGGTTATTTAAGACAAACTCTTTTTCTTAAGCCCTTACTGAATTTAGGGAAAAATCTAATATCACCCATCTATCTATATAAAAGCCTAATATGCAAATTGCCCCCACGGGAGTTCGACTGGGAGACCGATTGCTCGCTATGACATGTGCTGACCACCAGGGGGCGGTATGGAATGAAGGAAGGCCCCGGCTGGCAGCCGGCAGCTGGGGAAGGGAGGCCCCAGCCTGCAGCCAGAAGGCCCTGATTGGTCCTCATCACCGGCCAGGCATAGGGACCCTACCAATACACGAATTTTGTGCACCAGGCCTCTAGTCCTATATGATAAAAGGCTAATGTGCAAATCGACCAAACGGCAGAATGACTGGTCGCTATGACACGCACTGACCACCGGGGGCAGACACTCAATGCAGGAGATGCCCCCTGGTGGTCAGTGCGCTCCCACAGGGAGAGCACTGCTCAGCCAAAAGCCAGGCTCTTGGCTGGCGAGCATTGTGGCGGTGGCAGGAGCCTCTCCCGCCTCCACAGCAGCACTAAGGATGTCCGACTGCCAGCTGCAGGGAGTGGGCCTAAGCCATCAGTGGGACATCCCCGAGGGCTCCTGGACTGCGAGGGGGTGCAGGCTGGGCTGAGGGACCTTCTCGCCACTCCCCACCCCTCGCGAGTGCACGAATTTCATGCACCGGGCCTCTAGTATATTGATAAAATGTGGTGTGAATAATTATCAGTAAAACTATTATAAATAATATTTTTATTATAAAGCCTTTTCTCTCTTTATACTTAATTTCTTCTTCAAGGAATTCTAAGCATCAAAGATATGACTTGGGTTTGGGAGCTTCTGAAATCATTGTAGGCCTTAGTTATCTTGAAGGAAACTGGGTTTAGTCTTTTTAGGATAAATGGGAAATGGTATGACAAAGGACTGATTTCTTGCCATTATGCCCCACCAAAGGTGATAAGACCTCAGGGCTGGCCAGATTACAATTATTGGCAGCTCATTTTAGGGAGAAGGTAGGCTTGCTTGTTTTTTATATACTTCTGCTGTAGTGTGCATATTGTTCTACATGCTAATATTCTCCAATTCACTGATTTCTTTGAAATCAGAGATAAGGGTGATCTTATATTTTCCTCTCAGGCATTTGCCAGGATGCCTGGAAATGAATAAATGTATTGATAAATTATTCTACTCCTCATATGCCAAAATATGCCACTATTGATTAGGATGAGAATAGGTTTAATCTAAACAATGCTTCAACATTGCTTGGAAAATAGAACTCAAAATTATTTATAGTGGCAAAAAGTTGCAAACAACCAAAACACATATTAGTAAGAAAAATGATTAAATGATTATTTGTCCATTGGGTGAAATTTATGTAGCCCAAGAATAATTACTACCACAAATGCCCACTCTTTCCTCTTGCTAAGGTACAGGAGCGAAAGTAGGTTTACAGCTGTGAGTACACAAAACAATTTATTCTTGTATTATTATTTATTAATTATTATATTACTAGAAGCCTGGTGCATGAATTCATGCACAGGTGGGGTCCCTCTGGGTGGCCTGCAGGGATCAGGCTGAAACCCGCAGTCTAACACTGCCTGCAGCTCCTCCCTGCCACTCCTGCTCATCCCAGCCCCACTGTTCCTGCTGCAGGCTCACGCCCAATCAGTCCCGATTGGGAGAGGCTTGTGCTGTGGCAGCAGCACCCGCCAACCATGAGCCCTGCATCTGGTGCCCTCCCGAGGGGACTGGCCTGCGGGATCGGGCTGAAACTGGCTCTCCAACATCCCCCGGGGGGTCCCTTCCTCTCAGAAATCAATAAAAATATATTTAAAAAAATAAAAATAATACTCTCAACTCCATTTTGAGTTTCTTAAAAAATAAGTTGCAAAGTATGTGTCAGTGTTCATATTTTTACACTAACATCCTAATTGCTCCAGCAGCATTTGTTGAAAAGCCTATCCCCTCTTCATTGCATTGCCTTTGTACTTTTATCTGAAATCAGTTGATTTTATATGTGGGAATCTATTTCTGGGTTTTCTTTTATGTTCCATTGATCTTTGTGTCTGTCCTTTGCACTACAATACTATCCTCACTACAAGTCTTAAAATCAGGTGGTGAGTCTTACTAACTTTTTTCTACTTTTCAATATTTTTAGCTATTCTAGTCCTGTTGCCTTTTCATATTGTGCAGAAAAGAGTTAACATAGCAAGCCAGAGGCTATTAACATTAGAAGAGCCTGCTTGCAGATTTGGCCCTTGGCTGGCATCTGGGAATTTGGCTTTTATTTATTTACTAGAGGCCCGGTGCACAAAACTCGTGCACTTGTGGGGGTCCCTCAGCCTGGCCTGTGCCCTCTCACAGTCCGGGAGCCCTTGGGGATGTCCAACTGTGGGGAGCGGGCCTAAACCCACAGTCGGACATCCTTAGCGCTGCTGCGGAGACAGGAGAGGCTCCTGTCACCGATGCTGTGCTCAGCAGCCAATAAAAACCTTCGACTCTAAGTCCTAAATGGGCTTTTCTGTCAATAGTATTGTACACACGTGGCTGTATTTTTGCTGCTGGTGGGAGTAGGCACTTTGTGTGAACCCTCATTGGAGGGAGAGAGCACAGAGAAAGCCTACAAATAGAGTCCTCTCACTTTTGCCTTCCTGATCTGCTACGTATCCTTACTATGTTGCTCTAATGATTCTTCGCTGTTGCTTTAACTTTATGTTTAGTCATTTGAGACCGTCCAGGAAATCACCAAACTAGTAGGTGGTCTTGGGACCCCCTAAACACATACATTTTTGAATAAGGTGAAGATGATATTGCTTTAATTGTATAAAACAATAGATTTAAAGGTAAATTGTTTAAATTTATAAATTTCAAAGTAATGAACTATCCTACCTTTTCCTCTTCTTTCCAATATAACATCAGGACCAGTGTCTTTATTAACCTTGTGGAGTAATAGGATCAATACTGCCAATTCCAGAAAACATCAGGAGTTTGCTGGACGTTTGAACTCTGTTAATAACAGAGCTGAATTATATCAACATCTTAAAGAAGAAAATGGGTTTGTATTATTTATTGTTAATTGCCTTATAATAAGTTAAAATATAATGAATATTGCTTGTTTGTTATATTCAGCAATTTTTGTTATAATATTATGAACCAATATATATTAACTATAAAGAGAAAAAATTAACATCTTTGATTCTTAGTACTTGTAAAAGGCATGATTACTAGTATATTGATTGTAACTCTAAAAGTTTTTACTTAGAGCATTTTTTTCATTGCTCAATAAACATCAAAAAGGGAAAAATCATAGAGAAAACTTAATATGTAATACTGACTATAAAATAATGGAGGAAAATAGTTTTTGATTAAGTAGTACAATATTAGGGAATTTGTTTCAATTGAATAAATCTCAGGTTTGATCATTTTAATCTCCTTTTTAGAAGAACTTTCGATAATGTGTGGCAAAGGAACCTCTAGTGAAAAAAGAAATACATCTTTTACTAAATATCAGAAGTTTTTTTCCTTAGTTTTGCTTGCAGAAGTATAGTTGAAAAAGTGGTCTTTGAAAGGAAACTGGGAAGGTCACTTAATCTCTCTGGGCCTCAATTTTCACTATTCTGCAAAATGAGGAAGTGAGACCAACTAGAGCAGCGGTTCTCAACCTGTGGGTCATGACCTCTTTGGGGGTCGAACGACCCTTTCACAGGGGTCGCCTAAGACCATTGGAAAACACATATTGAATATATAATTACATATTGTTTTTGTAATTAATCACCGTGCTTTAATTATGTTCAATTTGTAACAGTGAAAATACATCCTGCATATCAGATATTTACATTACGATTCATAACAGTAGCAAAATTACAGTTACAAAGTAGCAACAAAAATAATTTTATGGTTGGGGGTCACCACAACATGAGGAACTGTATTAAAGGGTTGCAGCATTAGGAAGGTTGAGAACCACTGAACTAGAGGAACCCTAACCTTCGTTCTTTTCTAAGGTGCTGATATTCTGCTTGATGAATATATGAGTTTAATTTCATATGAAAGGTATATAAGGAGAAAAAATATATGGATGGTTAATGTTTCATTTTACCTATTCATTTTTCGCCTTCTGTTTTTCAGAATGGAGACAACAGAAAATGGAAAAGCCAGCCGGCAGTGAAGAGTGACTTGAGGAACTAAATTTACTATATTGCATAAATATTTTGGGCAGAATTTGATATAAGTACTTTTACAGCAAGATTGTATAGTTATGTTGCCTGGACTGGTTTTTACATTTTTAAGATATTTCAACTAACTTTATCTTTTTTGTATTAATTGTAAGATTGGCACATATGTCAAAAAAATACATTTGAGATTTGTCCTCCCAAATCACACAAATTTATTTTATGGTAAAAGGTTTTCCCTCTGGAAATGTTTTTTAAAAAATTCTTAGGCTTCTCTTTGCCAAATAAAACTATTAAAAATATCTGAAATGCAAAATATTGGAGTATTCCTTTAGAAAAATATATTTATTTAATGACTGACAACTTTTAGAAATTAAAATTTATCAGAATTTAGGAGACATTTATAATATTTAGTATAAAATTTTGCTGGTTAGTCTATAACATATAGTGCTTTTCAAAAAAAGAATGTTGTTTTTTATTTTAAATTATTTTTATGTTGCCCATTTAAAAACAAAATTTTCAGGTAGTTGGTGTAAATTTATATTTTCTCATATTGGACAATGTTACCTTTTTTTTCTGCTAAAAATTTACTGTCAGTTGACTTTTCATATTGAAAGAGAAGCATAAAGGAGATTACAGACTTCGTAGAAAGGAAAGTCGCTAGGTTATTTGGTTTTCTACTTAAATAGAACCTTGGTCTGCTCATCTCAGCAATGTCATGGTTATACTGTGAATGCTTGGTGACTTGTCTTCTTGTGCTGCTTCATCTGGAAGCTCATAACATATTGTGAGAAACATGTTATTTAAATGTTGAATGCTAATTCTAGGCTTGTCATTTTTTCTTGAGTGTTTAGTAGAGGAGGAGAAAACTCTTTGTTTAAATATAGATTTATTATTTTCTATGAAAAAACATGTTTATTTTTTTTTAATTTGAATTTCTAGGTTAACATTGGTTAGTAATGTAATACAGGTTTCAAGTATACAATTCTATAATACATCATCTGTATATTGTGTGTTCACCACCCAAAGTCAAATCTCCTTCTATCACCATTTATATTCTCTTTACCCTATTCTACTTCCCCCCACCTACCTTTCTCTTTGGTAATCACCATACTGTTGTCTGTGACCATGAATTTTATTTTTAAATTTTTTTGCTTAATCCCTTTCCCTTTTTCACCCAGTCCCTCTATCCCCTCCCACTGACAGATATCAGTTCTCTGTATCTGTGAGTCTGCTTCTATTTTGTTTGGTAGTTTATTTTGTTCATTAGATTCCACATGTAAGTGAAATCATATGGCACTTGTCTCTGACTGGCTTATTTCACTTAGCATAATACTCTGCAGATCCATCCATGCACAAGGTAAGCTTTCCTTCTTTATTAAAAGCTGAGTATTATTTCATTGTGTAAATGTACCACAGCTTTTTTATCCACTCATCTACTGATGGGCATTTGGGCTGCTTCCAAATTTTGGCTATTATAAATAAAGCTGCAGTGAACATAGGAGTGAACTCAAGGGGAAAATGGGAGGCTACTAATGTCTCCCTTGCTGATGCTGAAGGTATCAAGAGACTTTTAGATGACTGTGCAAATCTTCTCAGGTAGACTTAAACAGAGCCACTCCATTTGCTGAGAAATGTTGTCATTGAAGATAGTCTTTCTGAGGGTGTGGCTATATTCTTTATTACTTCCTCAGAGATTGAGAATCCAAGAAAATGAGAGTACTTGGATAGGCAAGGAGAGCTTTGTGAATACTAAGCTTGGCTAATTGATTCTGAGACAAACTCAGATACAACAGGATGCTTTTGTATTTTTGTTCTGTGGATTAGGGATTTATTTCCCACTCTGTAGAGTCCAATTTTTCTAGTAACATTGATACTGTAGAAGTTCTCTGAAAGTCAAAATCTGTGAATGAAGTAACTGTTAATAGCAAAGAAGGAATGACCTCAGGGAAAACAGAATATCCAAGGTTGTTGTCAAGGACATTTCCTTTAATGAATTCTGTGAGACTACTGTATGCAGTGGCCTTGTAATCTTCATGCACCTTAGTGTGTTTGGAGTAAAGTCAGGATCAGGAATAGGAGTGATTTGTCTTAAGGTAGCAAATAAGCTGGGGATCGATGGTGCCTCATCTTTAGAGATCCAGTGAGTCACAAAGGTGGGTAATGAAACAGAATAGCTTGCTTAGTTTTGTTGACTAAGTCATTTCAATGACTTCATTGTTGTGACTGGGATATCCCTTAACTGTCTAAGTCGTCGTCTTTGAGATTTTTGAAGTAATCTCCAACCTTCAATCTGATATCCTAAAATTTGAGCAAGGAACTTAGAGGAAGCATGCTGTTGAAAAACTTGAATTAGCTCTGACAGTAATGTAGAAACCTCATATTCCATAGGCTAGTAGAATTGTACAGCCAACACTGGAAGATCCCACAGTTGCTTATCTTGCTTCTGAATGGCTCATAGTCACCAAAGAAGCATCCAAGTGGAAATAGTCTGCCAAAGTGTACAGCACAAAGAGACACTCTTGACCACTAAGAGCTTCAGCAGCTGATTTAAGAATAATTTCAGCTACAATGGTGGAAAACTCCTTTGAGCTTCCTTGGGCTCTAACACTTAAGATTTAAAAGAAGAACACAGCATGGATTGTTGCTGTATTAGTGATCCCTTATTTTTATGTAGTCCTTCATAATGTATATAGTATTGTCACGTACATTATCTCACTGCCACCTCCAATAAATAGGAGGAAAAGGAGGACAATTATCCTAATCCCTAATATATAGTTGCAAAAAATGAATTCAAAATGGCTTGCCCTAGCTGGTTTGGCTCAGTGGATAGAGCGTCAGCCTGTGAACTGAAGGGTCACAGGTTCGATTTTTGGCAAGGGCATATGCCCAGGTTATGGGCTCAATCTCCAGTGGTGGGTGTCAGGAGACAGCCAATCAAGGATTCTCTCTCATCATTGATGTTTCTTTCTCTCCCTCTCCCTTCCTCTCTGAAATCAACAAAAAAATTTATTTAAAAAACCCAAAGTGGCTAAGTAAAATGCTCAAGGGCACAGAAGTATCTGATCCGAATCCAGGTGTTCTGACTTCAAATTGGAAGGTAGAGATTTCAGTGGAAAAGTTGTGGGTTTTGGAGTTAGAAAGTTTAAATCCAGTTTGTCACTTAGATTAGTTATATGGTTTTGAGTTATTTAGCTAATCTAAGCCTCAGTTTCTTAAAATAGAAAGCAGGAACATTTTACCTTGAGAGAGAGATATTTTGAATATTAATTGATATGAGGCACTTTGGAAGTTACCTGGCACACAAATAAATCTTTCATTCTACTGCACCTTTCCTGTTTCTTTGTTTTTCCTTCCCTGTGACCCTTCTTATCCTTTTCTTCCTGTTTTCTTCCCCGTGTCCTCTTCATCTTACCTTTTGTCTTTTCTCTCCTTGCCTCCTTACTGTCCTTTCATCCCTCCCTTTGCTCTGCTTTGTTATACTTCTCTAACATCTTTTGCATCTAGACCAGTGGTTCTCAACCTTCTGGCCGTTTAAATACAGTTCCTCATGTTGTGACCCAACCATAAAATTATTTTCGTTGCTACTTCATAACTGTAATGTTGCTACTGTTATGAATCGTAATGTAAATATCTGATATGCAGGATGGTCTTAGGTGAGCCCTGTGAAAGGGTCGTTCGACCGCCAAAGGGGTCGCGACCCACAGGTTGAGAACTGCTGATCTAGCCCAACAGCGGATCTCCTAGTGGTCCCTGCAGTTACTAAAAGTGCTCCTTTAAGTAACAGCCCACAGCCGGCCTTCAGTTTAGAGTTGGAGTCATGAGGCCAGTGTGGAGAAGAGCATGGTTTGCTGAATGGAAACTCATGTAATAACACACAGATCCAGAAAAGCTCTGAGGGTGGGATAACCCAAGTTTACTGTTGAAATGAGCAGGCATGCTCTACCAAAAAATAAAATATAAAAAAGTATGCAAATAATTCAAATAATTCTAGGTCTTTCAAGAAAAGAAAAATGGGATTTATTTTTAGGGTAAAATCAATTCTACTTTTTAAAAAAGTGTTTTGATTGATTTCAGAAAGGAAGGGAGAGGCGAGAAAGAGATAGAAACATCGATGATGAGAGAGTCATTCATTGGCTGCCTCCTGCATGCCCATACTGGGGATCAAGCCTGCAACCTGGCCATGTGCCCTGATCAGGAATCAAACCTTGACCTCCTGGTTCATAGGTTGATGTTCAACCACTGAGCCACATTGCTGGTTGGGCAAATTCTGTATTCAAATTTAATGTATTCATAAGGCTTCCATTTCTTCCCTCCATCCCCAAGACTTTATTTATTTTTATTGATTTCAAAGAGGAAAGGAGAGGGAGAAAGAGATAGAAACATCAATGAAGAGAGAGAATCATTGATCTGCTGCCTCCTGGCGCTCCCCACAATGGGGAGCCCACAACCCGGCCTTGACTGAGAATAGAACTATGACCTCCTGGTTCATAGGTTGATGCTCAACCATTGAGCCACACTGGCTGGGCATCCCCAAGACTTTAAAATGCAGTAGCTGCCATGGAGTGTATAAGGCTTTTCAAAATCTAGGCTCTGCTAACGTCTGTCTCCAGCTTCATCTGCTGTTCCCCAACTTGCACTGTGTTTAGTAGGGCTAAACTTCATGTGGCTTCCCAAACATACCATGCCCCTTTAATGTTTTTGTGACCATTAAACAGGTCCTTTTTAAATCCTATAATGCCCTTTCTCCTTTTCTGGCTGGCTAACTTCAACTTTAAAAACCCATCGCGACACAACCTCATCCAAAAAGATCTTGCCAACATCCTCCCCCATACTGAGTTAAGGTACTGATTTTTGCCTCTCTGTCTTACATGTGGTTTTGTTATTGCATTTACTTTACTATATTATAATTTTTATTTTTTACCTTTCTGTATACCCTACTGAGCTATTGGACTGAGTTCCTTGGCAGCAGTTTACTCATATTATCTCGTACTTCTACCTCAGGAATCTGGAAAACAGGAGGCATTCACCAAATCCTTGTTGAATGAATATGTGAATAAATGAACGAAAGAATGGAAAAAGATGCAATATGTGAAATCACTTTGTATCACAGTGTAGGACTTAGTTATTATTGACCTTACTATAATTTTCATAATTTTTTTGAAAGTTAAAAGTAACTTACTAGAGAAAAACTTTAAAATTTTAGATTAAGAGGGATAGTTAACAACATGATTATGTCCATAATGGGAAATTATTTGAGGAAAATTAAAAAATACTAAAAATGTGAATTGTTAAAATATGTAGAACTACCTTTTA